ACACTGCTCTCAATTTTTTTTTCCTCTTACATGCTTAATGTTGCTTACAGGTCCTGTGCTACTTTAAATTATAATATGTTATGTATAATATATATACTGATATGTCTTGGTAATTATTCAAAAAGTGTTAACTCTACCTTGGTCTCTCTTGGACTGTGGAACCGTCAGCCAATTAACCTTTTTCAAACTGTTCATTTTTTTATTCATACCATAAATTTAACACAATGTCAGCTGCTTCACATACAGTGTATAGTCTCGTAGATTATAAAAAATGAATGTGAACATTAACAAAGCAGACTTAGCCTTAAAATGAGAACAACTTTTTGGACCTGTCATTATGTGGTACCAGCAAGGCCAAGCAGCGAGGTGTATGGGGGAATGGCTTGACACTCCCATCTGACACAAGCCTAATGGGCCAGCAGGGTCATGCTGTTTAAAGGCAGTTAGCTAGCTGAGTGACAGCACTGTACCAGGCCAGAGGCTCAGCTGTCACGGATCGCAGGTGTGCCGCTGAGTTATGAGTTGTTGTACGAAGCGATAAGGTCGACAAGAGACCAGGAGGAGAGAGGAAAACTGAGGGAAAAAGATAGAAATAGACCACAGAGAGGAAACGCTGTCAACAGAGATGAAGCCTGAATATGGGTTTACATGCAGCTCGTGAGCAAATCCTACAAAATCATCACCATCACCATTTGGCTGCATGGAAGATCTTTAAATTTGCTTTAATGATACTCTAGTATGTTTTCCTAGAAAGTCTGGTTTGTTTTGAGAGGCGTGAATGTGCAATCAAACTCTGATGTAGAACTCTAGTCCACCTAAAAACCTAGGTCTCTCTTCAATTGAAGTGAATTCTGGCACAGTTCAAATGTAGAGACTGCTCCAAAAGCAGGAAGCAGATTATAGTGCAGGGCATTCTGGGTAAATATACCCAAAATAAACACTCAGGCCAAGGGCTAGTGGGAGAAATGGCTGTGGTCTTATATTAAACATTACAGAGAAATCCTACAACCAATACAATCTGACACTACTCCATTGTGAAAACTGACTTTTTGTTCAGTGTCTTCTTCCTTAGTGTCTTCCTGTCGTTTCCTTTAGTTGTTTTTGGTGCAGCAAGCAGAGGGGAAATGCCCAAGCAGAGTCCTGAGTGGTGAATTAGCTTTAGTTATATACTCTTTGTATAAGGCATCAATTACAGACTCATTTTGTTCTATGTTTGTATATATTGTACCGTCACAAATAAATAAATGAATGAAATGTAACAAACATTGCAATTTTAGTCCCAAATCAAACAGAGTCTACTGGACTATCACCTTTGTCAACTTTAGTTTGAGTGAAACAAGAGAAAGCGGTACATGACCTCTGTCAGCCCACACACTGTTGACAGAGGTCAGCAGTCTGTGGGCATTTATCATGTGCAAGACTCACCTCTGACCTCTTTGTGGAGAGATCACTATATGGATAATGCAAATCTTATTCATTATCAATCAATCAATTTTTATTTGTATAGCACATTTTAGCAGCAAGGCATTTCAAGGTGCTTTACATAATTAAAAACAGCATGTGAAGCAGCACAGTAATAATAGAACAGTATCTACATGAGGATTTACCCTTATGGGGTCTCCAATGCTCGACAACAATTCATGTTCAGTCTGTGAATGATCAAGCCTAAGTAATATCTGAAAAGTATAAGCCGATGTATTAATGTCAACTACACCTCCCTATAGTCATAGGACTATGTTTCCTATGCCTATTAGATCAATTTCAATATAAAAAATATTTTCACTTTGGGTTTTATATATAGTCCCTCTATAACATACTGAAAAACACTCTACACCCAGAAAAAAGCCCATGAAGGCTTATGTGTGCAGCCTAAGTGGTGCACTGGAGCAAGTAATAGACAGTGATTGGAGAAATGGATGACTCCTCAAGTAACCTTGAGTGAATGGAGCTCATCATTCACATGCCAAACACACACATAGACAAAATTTGCAACAAAGCGCAACTGACCAAGGTCTTTGTCAACGCCAAGGGCTTTCATTACGCACGTCTTTAACCCAGTCTGCTATTATCACAGCTAAAGATGACAATCCTGGCAAAGATGTCATGTCTGCAACATCAGCCACATCCTGGTTTGTTGCGATTTATATATGATCGTTACTTTTTTCAGGCCACTTACTGCTTTAGTTGGTATATCTAAAAAGGGAAAGATCTCCTAACATACTTCACAGCATGATTCTGAGATTTTTCTGATTTGATATTATGGTTTTAGGTCAAGTGTGTATACTCTAGACCAGGGGTGCCCAAGTTCAGTCCTTGAGAGCTACCATCCTGCAACTTTCAGATGCATCCCTGCTTCAACACACCTGAATCAAATGAATGGCTCGTTACCAGGCCTCTGTAGAGCTGATCCCGGTCTGTTGGAGTAAGGATACTTCCAAAAGTTGCAGGATGGTGGCTCTCGAGGACTGGACTTGGGCACCCCTGCTCTAGACCCACTGTTTCTATAAGAGGAATGGACTCAAAAGGTGAAAACACGTCTGTTCAAATGTAAGGTTTTACATGATGTACTAAATGTCTATGTTTCCACCCAATTGCCATGTGAATTTTAAGAGAAATTTTTTAATGTGCCAAAAAACAACAGAGGAACGTGTGAATTGGGTGTGTTTTCTTGTACAGGCCTGGAATGAATCAACCAGGCCATGTAAAGTGTTGACATTATGCATGGCTGTTAAGATGCAAAGGTTGCAAACTTGTATGGACCACACATCTCAGAAAAATGTTGAGTCCTCCTCCCTGTACTTTGGATGTTGAAATTTCAACCTGATGGTGGACTGGACCTGATGGTGTTCCACACGGGTTTCTATACAGGGAAAGTTATGCATCTACCCGAGATGGGTATTCCAACTTGCTCAGAGAGAAACTTCAAGATTTTCTTTGACACCTGCTTCACAAGTGACTCTCTCATAGCAACAGACTACCAAGTGTCAACTTAATTTCTGAAGGTGAAGTTGAAGAGAACTGGACATGGATCTTTTGAACAGAAGACATCCGTTGCTGAAGAAAACCTTTATGCAGTGGGGTGATATGGTAACCAGTCAGTCAGTCTTCTCCGTAATTGCATCCAGTCACTGAAGTTGATTTGTGGAATGGTAAGAACAAGAAAATGATCAAAGCCCCTGTCCTGCTGTGGTCAGAGAACACAATAAAACCCACAGGTGGAGTGGATCTGCTTGACTCGTTCTTTGCACTGTATCAGTACTGGGTGAAAAGAAAGGGAGATTCAAAGTGCCAGAATGCAAAGGAACACACAAAGCAAAGAGTCAAAAAAAGTGCTGTCCACTTTTGCTTCAATCACATCCACCAGTAACTGCTTCATGAGGTTCCACGTAGAATAATACAGACTACTTTGTGATGGAGAAAACACCAATCCAATCAGCACTCCATAGGAACACACACACTAGAACATAAAAGTACACAAAATCAAATTTCTGACTCCATGACTGAAAATCAACTTCTGACTGCTGTCTTTTGAAAACAAATTCTTGAAGTAAAATATTGTCTAGTGTATTTATTGCCTCTTTGTTTCCCATCCTAGATATAACAGGGTTAAATATTTTTTTCTCTCAAAATAAAAATTTATGTCATATCGGGTTATCAAAAATCCAAGCATGTACACATCTCCAACATCCTCCACCGACAATATGGACAGACACATCATCTTCCACTTCCTCAAGAAATCCATAATGTATTCAGCTGCATTATGTCCTGTTGGGGTATGAGGTGCTCTCCTTTGCCAGTCCTCTCGTCATGAAAATTTGATCCACTGCATTGAGAGATCAGTTGAGATCCATCATTTGCAATTCAGAAAATATGCCAAAAAGAATATCCAGACAGTAATGGTCACAAAAGCAAATGCAGGCCAGACAATTCTTGTAAATAAATGAGAAATTTTGGAGACACTTTGATTTGTAATTTAATTTAATTTTTCATAAAATAGTCAGGGCAGCCATGTTGGGATTAGCACTCTGGTTTTGGGAGCAGAGATTATCAAGTAAAATTCAGTTAGATGGAAGCCGCTCTCGCGCAAAACAACTAATATAGCACATTACTGACTGCTCACAGATAGAAGGGAAAGAGAAATATTTGGCAGAATTAACTTATGTTATTGAATAAGAAAAACTCAAATCAGACAGAATCAATACCAGAAGACCAGAGCTTTACAAACCTGCTTATGTGTCTTTATCTGCACAAAACAACCTAGGAAACTTTCTCCACCGCCATTACTAAACTTCGACGACAGGCAGATCACAATTCTAAAACCATAAAATCAATGTTATCGTTCACAATTTTGTTTTTCTGTTCACTGATTGGCCCCATGGAAATTCTACTGGAGGAATCCAGATCAATGGGAGAAATCTCAGATGGAACACTGAAGGGAGATCAGAATCAAGTGAAAATGTGTCGGGAGGTAATGGCCAGGATAACAATAAGAATTTAGGTTTAGTTCTTCAAGCACGTCGACGCCTGTAAAAGCTTTGTTTCTGCTGGAATGATTCCAAGGCCAAGATGCTGTTTAAGCTCTTGCTTCTCCAAGAAATCTATTCAAGAGGCACCAGTAAATAACACGGCTTATTTATGTAATCCCTTGATGTCTAATGGTTGATTGGGACCCATTAAACACACCCTCAAATAGGCTACTTCTGCAAATACCTTGTTTATTCTGACTTTTAAACCCTTCAAAAAGACTCTGATATAAAACAAGACACCACAAAGCATCAAGATTTTCTCTCTCACACATTTATGCTAAAGAAACCAGCTGGCTGCAGTCCGCTGGCTTCTCAGTGAGCGACATGCATCATTAACATCTTTAAATGCTGAGGCGTCCTGCCTTTACAATCTTCAAACAGGCTGTCCTTCAACCCCCTCTGCTTAAAGCCTCCCACCCACCACTCACAGTCTTTAAAGTGTTACTAAAGAAGCTTAACAACCCATTGCAAAGGGTCTGCATGGGGCGTTTGTACTCCATAAAACCCGCTATAAGTAATGGTATTTCACCAGGAACTCTTATGGAACATACAGTGCTTCCTTTACGAAGACAGTTAAAGGCAGCAGGTGAGTAAAATGATGTTTTTCTGGATTGTATTTGTTTTCCAATAATTGATCAGAGAGGCGAACTGGAAAAGTGGTTAAAACACAAACTTCTCTTAGCTGACAGACAGAAAGTATGACTACAACAACAGGATTGGATTTTTGGAGCATCACATGATGTAAACACAGCAATGATGTGTTTAGCAGCAGCATGCCAAGAAAACTATAGCAGAATACATTTGGTATGCTGTATACACAAAGATGTTTGGATTCCAAGATATTTTACATCATGTATGTTTCTAAGGTTCAAGTATGAAGTCAACTAAGGGACGTTAAATCAGCTCCATTCAACAGTAATGTTAAAAACCACTTCAAAAGGCTTTACCAAATGAAATCAAAGTAAAAGGAAAAATAAGCTGTAGGTTTAAAAAAAAAAAAAAAGCTCAGCTATATTTGCACGCAAGTCTAATGAATCTGACGTTAAATGAAATCTTCTCCAATTGTTGATAATATTCTGAAAAACATTTTCACTCTACTGATTTTACATAAACGGAGACAAAAAACAATAAATGTTTTCCAGCAAAAACGTTCATCCCGATTCTGTTCGCATGGGTATGTGAAGATCATTTCTCCGATAAAGAAATTCAGACATAGCATAATTTTCTGCTAAAGCCAATAAATACAATTAAAGTGCCAAATGAGATGTGTAAATTTTGATAGTGAACCCTGGTCAAAGCTGCATCTCTCCTTTAAACAACTATCCTAAAGATTCTGAGAAAGCATCCGCGATCAAAAAAGGTGCAGTGTGTCTTTAATTCCTTGCCTTTGTGGTGGCGGCAGCGCTAGCAAGGGCATCTCAGGCGAACCACAAAGCTAAGGGGTTAAAGACGGTACCATGTTGGCTCTTTGTGAGCGGGATTCCACGACATTTTTCCAGCTCTTTATTTTCAAGTCATAGCTAACCAGCTCCAACTTCCTGCCTGCTCAAAAACCACACGCCATTCGAGGACAAAGATAAGAGAAGCAGAGCCAGGACACACAGAAAAAAACAGGAGGAATCAGTGTTTCAGGAACATGAAGGGAAGGTCATTGTCTCCAAGCTTACCCTGGGAGAAAAACAGAGGGCCTGAACCTGCCAGAACCTATCCACGGCGACCAGGAGGTGGACCTGCAAGAGACCAGAACAACAAAGACAGTTTGTGACAAAGCTGAGGCACCGCAGTCCGAAAGGAGTGAAATCAAGTCTGACATTTTTCATTTATTTGTAAATGCCTCCTTGGCGGCACACTCACTCGAAGCGACAGTTGGGCTTTTACCAAGTTAAGGGGAGATGATGGTAGAATAGAGGGATCCTGACAGAGGTTGTAATGAGATGCCGCATTAGGGCCGCTCTCTCATCCACTCTCCCCTCTCTCGCCCAGGAGCACGCCCTTCACTTCTAATCTGCCACCCCGACCATTTGGAGATGGTTAACCCCGTGAAAAACTACACTAACCCTCTTTGGTGCCCTGATAAAACATTCTTTCTGGGTTTATTTTGTCGAAGAGACTTTGATGCTTACAAATGCTTTTGTCAAAGGGATTTTAGAGCGCTCAGAGCCTCGGGAGGGTTCGGGGAAAGAATCGCGATATGCATCACCTGCTCAAAATATGAACAGGTGCAGAGGATGGAGCTAACGGCCGGGAAATGGATTAAAAAATACCAAGTTAGTGAACAGTGAGCATAAAGCAGACATACTGTGACCTCTGGGAAACATCAAGTCATAGTCTTCATCATGTACACTTTTACTAATTCTTAGCAACATAAAATAAACCAAACCAAATATTTGTTAAAGAAAAGAGATTTAACATTTTTATATTTGAACAGATCCGTTAAAAACTTACATTGTATTTCCATGTTCCTGCAAAGCAAGTTTTGACATAAACATAAAGACGCGGTTATTTAAACGGTTGCCCTAGACATGCTACACTTACTGTAGCTCACAGCTAATTCAGTATTTAATGCTTCAAATCAGAATTGGTGTTCAGTTTTTAAGAAACTCCAAGCCCATGTGTGGTTTTTTCTTTATTTAAAACATTTAACTTGCTAAGAGGATCCAAGTCCGCAGAAAAAGTCCAAAAAGCTTCAGGCTCAGTGAGAACAATGATGTCACTTCAGCTTCTCGCCAGGTAAACAGCGGTTAGCATTAATGACAAATAACCTTCTGATGTTATCCAGTTGTTCAAGTCCTAAGCCTGTTCAAATTTCAAAACTTAAAAATGTTGTCCTGAAAATTAAAACACCAAAGAACAAATCTGCTTTGTCTCCTAAAACTGACTCAACTTTCATTTAAACTGCTTTATGTTTGGCATCACTTTGTAAACTCATTTTATCGGTTTATATTTGTTGCTTTTAATGAATGATTTACCTTAATGTAAGCATAGAATGGTCCAATTAAAGTATGTTGCAGGTGTGACCAGCACAACACCAAGGCTTGGTAAAATACTACAGCAATAATGCAGCGTAATGAACAGAATGTAAGAGTATAAAATACAGTGGAAAGTCACATTAGTCTAACTTTACTAATGTTCGAGTTTGAAAATCAAAGGTTAACATTAATTTTAATGTTAACCTGGACAACAGTAATGTAATTACATTACTGTAATGTAACTTTACCTTAGAATGACAGAAAAAAATGTGAAAGCACAAAGGACTGTTATGCTGGACACACGAGCCTGCAGTAGACTGGAAAAATCAGAGTTTAATACTGAAAACATATTTATATCAAATTCACAAAATATCCCCATTTTCATTTTATGTCCTAGACTTTAGTGATATAGCACTTTTCAGCAACAAGACAATTCAAAGTGCTTCAAATGAGGAAAACATACAAGAGTACACTGTACAGCATAAAAGTATAAAAAGTTGAGCTTCACGCTAAAATAAATGTTCCAGTTAATACTTTAAATAAAAGCGGAACTCACAACAACTGGGTTAAAGTTGATTTCAAACAACTCAGGGTTTCAGCATTTCCTCGGTGTATAAGGTGACTGAAATCTACAAAAACCCACTTCTGTATCATAACCATTAACAAAGTTTATGCATAAGTGGAATTTCCACATCAAGTGCTGCATTAGAAAAATTCCTTTGTTCACCAATTCATTCACTTCATCTCACTCCTTTTATGCAATCAATAACTTTCCCTGGTCAACAAAGACATTCAGGATAATTTTAGTCATTTTAAAATCAGCTCACCTACATATGTTGAGAAGAGGAACCATTAAAGTAGTGAATTAGGTTGTGATTGAGTAGGCAGTTAGAACAGAGCGATGGATTTAACTTTGACCATAATTGCTCCTGAAATATGTCATCATCCTTGGTTAAATTTAAAACTGTTGCTTAAAAAGCCTTCTACTTAGTCTACAGAAAAAGAAACGGTGCACCTGTTTTTCTACCTTGAAATGAGGGAAACATTAAAAAAAACAAAAAACAAAAAAAACAAACTGTGGTGTGGTTCTTCTCTCCTCACAGAGTGTAGCAGGTTTGTTCTCTGCCGTCCATGTCTAAGCATCACTGAAACCCCCCCTCTGTTGTAATCCAGTGGTATAGCCCTGATTGTTGTGAAGGCTGGTTTTCCCTTTGATAAGTCATTCAGCATCTCAGGGTCAGTTTGTCCCTCACTCTGTTCCTATCATTTTCAGACTCATATTGCCCTTTCATAACTTCCTACTTCCATTTCAGTACAAAGTGACTCATTGTAGGCTCAATGGTGGCTTGATGCTGCCGTCCAGCTTTTTCTTGTACTTCATCCCCTTCTTTTGCTTTTGGGAATCATCGACTCCAGATCAAATATTATACACATTCCAATTTTAATTTACTTTAATTGTACTTAAATAATTGAAGTTTAGTAGAGTTATAAGAATTCTCAAAACATGTGTAATTTGATCTAGTTTAATATTTTTAAGTTGACAGGTTACAACCTGTAATCACACTAAAATTACTCCAGGCGTGCTCCTACCTTTACATACTCTGGGCACACAATTAAATGTCATAATTGTAGGATATGAGTGGTGCCCGTACAAATTATTGGATAGTCAGAGAGAAACATACCACAGAAGATTGCTTGAATTTCTCCCCACAACTGTATAAAAAAAAACGGGAAAGACCAGCTAACATGAAGGCACATCGTCATAAGACACTAGTTATTGAATAACTAGACATACAAGCTAAACAACAAATATATGTAATATCTTTAATCTGTTAAGTTCTTCAACCATCAAATTCGTGCAAAGTTCTGTTCAATCTGTTCATTTTTTAAGAGTTTCAGGAACTCCTGATTATTCATGGAACTACTTTAGAAATGTGGAAACTGACAATGTCATTAGGGACGTCTGTGCTGATGATACATTTTTAGCATTGAGATGCTATTTTAGGTTTGAATACCTTCACTGATAGGCTAACTCCTAGCACAAACTGAACACATGTCCGTAAGACAGTCATGGACATCGACATCATGTCCATGACCCCCCCCCCCACCTCCACACAGAGGGGAAGACATCTTTATTGAAGAAGCTGGTTATTCACAGAGTTCTGTATCCAAGCATATCAACAGAAAATTGAGTGGAAGGAAGAAGTGTGGTAGGAAAAGGTGCACCAGCAACAGGGAGAACTGCAACCTTGAGAGAACTGTCAAGCAAAATGTTTTCAGTCTGGGGTTGGGTCAGTGCATTAGAAGCGACTATGCACAGACTAATCCACACTTCTGCTGCAGATGAGCTTCTCATGTCAGGCCACTCCTGAACCAGACTGGAGTGTTTCTCAGTGGTCTACTATCCTCTCTCATATGAAAGTAAAGTTCACATTTTATTTGGAATTTAAGGTCCCAGAACCCACAGTCAGGGATGCTTCAGGGTGTCATGACTTTCCAGCAGGACTTGGCAGCTGCCTGCACTGCCAAAGTCACCAAAAGCTGGTGTGATTACCATCGTGTTACTGTGCTTGATTGGCCAGCCAACTCTCCTGACATTTAACCCCAAAGAGAATCTATTTGACTCTCCTAAGAGAAGCTGATCTCCTCCACAACTCGGTGAAGTGCCCTCTAAGCTGTCCTCCCAGACTGAGTGTGTGTGCCATGGACTGAGCAGCATGTGAACAATGAGTTATGTACTTCATTAAGCTGAAGTAATTTCCCTCCCAGATATCATGTCGCCTTCGAGCCTCTCAGTAATCCATCCCAGCCGCCATCAGCTAAAATTAGCTCAGTGAAGTGGAGTGCCACACCTTGTCAGGACGCTGCAGGTAGGGCCGTCTGGCTCTACAAGGCGTCATTAAAATACAAGCTTTTAGATTCAAATTATTGTTGGTGCTGGAGATACAATCTGTAGGTTTTCAGTGGCAACCTCTTCATCATCCTAAACTAATATTATCCAAGCATTGCACTGTGATAATTACTGAAATCATAACCATGAGTTCAGGTCTCAGAAGGTGTCTATCCCTGTGAACTTGTTTTTAGGTAGACTTTCATTAAATATTTGCTTCTCTTGCTAATACACTGAAGCACTTCAAAAGTAGATACTATATATACATTTGATTTTTTTGTGAGGGAAAATACTTTAATGGACAATCACTGTCTTGGCAGTTCCAGTAGAAATGGAATAAATAGGTGTATTTATTCCATTTTTAATTTACAGCAGTTTCCATAAACTCAATCATAGCTCGATTGAAAAAAACAAAACAAAAAAAGTTTAAATATTTTAGTTAAATAGATATTTCCTTCCTTCTTTCCTGGTCTACTTGACACAGTCCTTAAACAGTAAATATGACATAACCGCAAAGGAGTTTCAAACTGCCAATTTTATTTATTTATTTATTTATTTATTTATTTTTTCCCAGAAATCCTGTAGAAGGTAATTAATGGTTTAACTGAAAGAACAGAATAGTTTTGGGGTTTTACAATTTGGTTTTAAATCTCTTCACTGAACAGAATCTGCTCTTTTGAAAGTTTTTAATTTACAGCAGTGTTGCCCTTGCGTTTTTAGATTTACATTCAAATACTCGCCTAGAGGAACATTAGATTTTATTAGAACTCATGTCATCCAAGGGGTGGCGCTGTAGGCCTCAGTCTGCAGACTGTGAGACAGTCTCATGTCTGTCATGACATGCAAACAGCTCAGTCATCAGAGATCATATTCTACAGCAGTGGTCCCCAACCCCCGGTCCGCGCAAGAAATAATTAAATATTTCCGTTTTATGTATTATTTGAGTCTGGAGGATCTTTTATTTTGAAAATCATTTAACCAGATTCTCTGTTACTTGCGCGCCTACCTGAGCCCACAAGCAGCAAAATGAGTAAGAAACAGATCAGGTGTCTTTGGAAAGTGTCTTTGCAAAGGGGAAAAGGCCCAGAGAAGAGACAGGAGAATGGATTTATCCCGGACCGGTAGGTGAGTCAAACATTACAAGCCGCTCTGTGTAACATGCGGCGACCGGCTGCTAATGAGGCAATGAAGCTTCAAACTGCTTCGCCACGTAGAGACCAAGCAGGCTGTGGATATAAGCAACACCTCGGGTGTCATTGTCTCCCATCACTCCCAGATGGGACCGTCTCGTTGCAGAGAAACAAGCTCAGGGCTCCCGTTAGTCATTATCGTGAGTTAAAATTTTCACGAAAGTAAAATGCTCGTTTTTGTTGCGCATCTGTATCATATTTTGAAGGGATATGTAAACGTTACCATAGCGACCAGAGTCAGAGCGTTTGGGCAGTGGTCGAGAGGAGATGAATAGAGCTAGTGAGTCTTAAGTCTGGTTTAGACGGCAAGATTTAAGAATTGTCGGACGATTTTCCAAACCTTTGTGACCACAGAGCTGATAAAAGTACAACAGGTTCGATCGGTTCGTGTCTCCAGCCACAAGGCAGGAGCAACACGAACCGATTCCAGTCACAAACATCGCGATTCCAGAAGAAAATCCACAAAACCTCCAACATAGCATAGGGGAAATTAGAATGACCAAACACGGATGACGATGTAGAAGCAATAGTGGCAGTTTGTGGAGTCATTTTAAGAGATGAAAGAAACAAAAAGAAAAGGCGGGGAATAAAAGACAGCGGGAGCAGCCGCTCTATTTGCTGCACTATGATTTGGAGGCGACTATAGTTTTTCATAGTTAACATTTTTAACTGAATAAACATAAACATATATAATAACGACCTTTACATATAATAATAAACATTTCCACATATCATCTCTGATATCCACCAGACTCAGTTGCGCGACATGTCAGCTGTTTGGGATTCCCCAAACAGCCAGTGGTGGAGAAAGT